ACAAACTGTGAAACAGTCAAGATTCAAAAAACTTTTTCCTATAGAGGAACACAATATTGTTTATAGGGATAGTTCACACAAAAATGTGAATTCTGTCATCGATTACTCATCCTCATACCATTCCAAACCCATAAGACTTTCATTCATCTTCAGAACACAAATGAAGAGTATTTTTAATGAAATCTGGGTGCTTTCTGTCCCTCTATTGATAGCCTACGCAACTACCACTTTCAAGGTCCAGAAAGGTATAAAGACATCAATAAAGTATGTGACTCCAGTGGCCTAACATCAATTTTAAGAAGTGATGCAAATTATTTGTGTGGAAGAAAACAAAACAAATCAGTCTTTTTTTCTCACAATATGTAGATCTCAGACACATTCACAATGCATACATGTTGAGTTGACATGAGAGCAGATGTTCTGACAATACAACCCATCCCAGAAGCCTTGCACTTGTTACAAGCAGAGGAAAAGGGACACTGTATGCAAGCCTCATGTATTAAAGGTCCTGGGTTTTTTTTGCAATTGTGCTCACATTGGTGCCTTTTTAAAAATGGTGTCAACACAACACATAATAAGCACTGTGGTTCTCTCGTGAACTATGATCTATGCTGAAGTGAAGATGTTTTGTGAACAGAAAGCACTCATGTTGCTTCTTAAAATTGATGTTAGGCCACTGGAGTCACATACTTTAATGATGTCTTTATACCTTTCTGGACCTTGAAAGTGGTAGTTGCGTAGGCTGTCAATGGAGGGACAGAAAGCACCCAGATTTCATTAAAATGATCTTCATTTGTGTTCCAAAAATGAACGAAGTTTTACAGGTTTGGAACAACATGAGGGTCAGTAATTAACAGAATTTTCTTATATTTTTGGTGAACTCTCTCTTTAAGTTAGATTACTAACCTGTAATTCATGCTAAATTATCTAAGTGTTAAACTTCAATTGGCATGATTCTGCAACAACGCTTTCTTGTACAGCATTTGAAAATATGGAACAAAGATTTGTTCACTCATGCTTGACATTTCAATGTGAAACTAAGAAAACTATACAATTTGAAGTAGGAGCATGTGATTTGTGTGTTGAGTGTTTGTGCACTCTTAGTATACCTCTCACCATGTGCCAGTTTGAGGAAACTACTGAACACAGCCTCCAGGTTTTTTTCCCCTTTTATCTGCATGTTTAGTCCAAGTTTCATTTTGAGATTTGAAAAAAGCTCAAATGTTACATGGATTTTCGAAGTTGTTCATGCAAGAGTTGCCTTCATCTCAACCCTCGTTCAGGATTTCTTCACAGGAAAACTCTAAAAGAAATGGATATGACAAAAAATGAAATTAATGAAACTGAACAGAGTAACATGCAGGTTGGAGATGGAAAAGCAATCATACAGTATTTTAAGTTCATTAAATCAACTGCTATCCCTAATACTTTCCAATTCAAACAATTGTTTATAAATTGCTTAACTTACATTTCCAATGGTCTCCATTTGCATCTGTCATATGAGCTTGTCAGATCAACTATGTCTTACAATATACTTCATTATTTTCAACTAAATAAACAGCAACACAACCAAATGCTTTATACACATTTCATAACATATGTGTTGCTTACTTCTGTATGAATTCCAGCGTAAGTGCCATCTCCTCTGGGTATTTGTAGCTCACAACCGCAACAGGGGAGGAGATGTGGTCATTAACTTCTTGAACAACAGCGATCTTGAACTGCCCATCACCATAAACAAAAAAAGACATTAAAAAATTACCATATACGTAACGACAAGCAGCTTTGAACACACCTTTGAAGCTGTGTTCAGCAACCAACTTCATGTTGTTGTAAAAGTCAACAGAATAAATGACTCTGACTATTTTATTTTCAATATTTAACACTAATGTTAAATAAAAACTGTTAATAAAACAGAATACAAACACATGATAAGAATGCTGGGGTGCTTGAGATTCACAGTACAGCAGCAATTGTGTCCTGTCATTAGAAAGAAAAAAAAAGAAACACTATGAATGTCATGAACTGCTGTCCCTTTAAAACACGACGCATATCTGACACACATCCGATCTACTCCAGTCTTTACGGTCAATTAAGACTTTTTAACTCATTTTAGACTGTGTTGTTTACAAGGTCACTCGCCAACAACGGTCATTTTGGCATAATGTTGTTTGCGTTTGTCCATTACAGTGCGAAAGAGAACTCAATGCACTGCTGGCGCGCTGTCTGAAGTCTGATTCGTCGGATGCCCGTGTTCACTCAGTCGCTCCACAGACAGCCTGCTAGTAACGTTACAGAATTGATTTCTCTTTTGCATGTTATCGTCCTTGAGTGTTTAAAACAAGACAATAAAAGGTCTAAACTTACCTCATTTTGCAGAAAAGGTGATAGTGTTATCCTTGAAGAATTTGCAATTCCAGATCTTCACTTAGTTGTATCTTCATCTCGTTTAAATTAAGAAAGATGTAAATGGTCTCTCCTTTTCTCACAATTCCTCTGCCAGCTTTTGTTGAAGGCATTAAACTAACTACGTTAGGACTGCGCTTCAGATTTATCACAACTGCTTCTCTTCAGTAATGACTAGATGCTTGAAACGATATGATCAACAACAATTCAAAGTTAATAAACAATTAAAAGTGTAACCTCCGTAAGTAAGATGTGTGACGATAAGCAGTGTTGGGGAGTAACTAGTTACATGTAACGGCGTTACGTAATTTAATTACAAAATAAATGTAACTGTAATCAGTTACCGTTACTAAGAAAAAATGTGTAATTAAATTACAGTAAATTAATGTTACGTCAACAGTTTATGTGACATTTAACAACATAGTCTATAATTTACCACGGAAGTGTAGAAACAGGTTCCCCAAATTCGAAAGCCGACTTTAAAATGAAACTTTGGCCCGAGAAGACCTCCGTCAGTAATGGCGCCTGCTCTTGCACTGTTTTCGTGCCGATAAGCGACCAAGGTTCTCGCTCCCACAATGCAAAGTGTAATTCAGAAATACGGGAAAACACATGTAAAAACCAAAAACGGAAAAATTACTTTAAATATTACAGTATATTGTACTGTATATTGACATTTTTTTTCTTACAGTGTAGTAGGCAGCAAGAACTGCTACTAAACAGGATCTTCAGTAAAGATACCTTGAACTGGGGCTGAATTTAAATTGATGCAGCTGAATCCAAGGTGGAGATCAATCTGTTTGAGCTGGTGAACACGTTAATCAGTGATATTGACGAAAATCTATTATTACAGCTCACATGTGAAGATTGTGTGCAATAACACACTACACAGAATGCAAAACACTATAGTCTATAGTTAGATAGTCTCTAAAGGCATTTTCAGACAGGGACTTATCATTGTTACAGTGCTGCACTTTCTTCATGGTTTGGTTCGCTTTCACAAGGCATCATTTCAAAGCATATCAGTGTTTATTTAAGTAACATGTGAGTAAAACTCTCCTGTCATTGATCAGAGAGCAACTGTTTATGTTCCAGGATTCCACTCCTAGCGTCACACACACAGCCACACACACACACACTTCAATAAACAAGCTACAGGTAGTCCAAAATGCAGCGGCTAGAGGTATACCAATATAGCTGTCATTCTCATTCTGAGTGAAAATCAAGGTTTTGTTGGGACAACATTTTTGCATTGCACCTGTTTTAGAAAGAGCAATAAGAAAACATTTTAAGATTAAAAGGGGCTCTTTGGATTTCACCTGCAATTCTAATTTGCTGCACCCACAGAATCGAGAAGGGTCTGTCTGTGGACTGCAAGAGAGGGGCGTAACTGGAAGGGGGCGTAATTTGAACAAGGGGACTTAACTTGAAGTTGTCCAAATCACACAGAACCACGCGAGATGTCAAAACGAGATGTTGTCGGGCTGCGTTCGAAACCGCATACTTTCTAAGTTATAATCACTTAATTTCTTTAAGTAGGCTACTTACTTACCGAGTGCTATGAGAGTGTACAGCCTGAAGTACAGCCTGAATGCGTTAAGTAGATACGACCATCTTTCCCTGATCTTTTATGTAATTATAAGTTCAGCAATAATAATAATAAAAAAGAGGGACAGGTGCACTAACATCTCATAGCATCACTAACTCAACAATCTAGTATGGTTTTCCTCAGC